TGTGTGTGTGTGTGTGTGTGTGTGTGTGTGTGTGTGTGTGTGTGTGTGTCAGAGAGAGAGAGAGCGACAGGGTCTCACTATGCAAGCTTGGCTACCTAGAACTATGTAGATCAAGCTCACTTTGAACTCACAGAGTTCTGCTTCTGCCCCAGACTGCTGAATACAAGCGACCACTACCACAGTCAACCTTACTCAGAGCTCTCTGAACTCTGCTTGGCAACGCTTTGGGGTTCAGTGTACAAATCCTGCACTTTCAGTTAAGTACATTTTTAAGGGTTTTACTTTTTTCTTTTGGAAGCTGGTGTGAGCAGAACTCCCCCGCCCATGTGTATGTGGTACAGGTTATATGTACAAGTGCATGGGTGTAGATAAAGGACAGTGGTTGGTACTGGCTGCTTTTCTTGACTGCTTTCCTCCTCAGGTTTTAAACAGGGTCTCTCACAGAACCCAGAACTTGCTGGCTGGCTGGCCTGGCTGGCCAGTGAGTCCCTAGGACCTGCCTGTCTCCACTCCTAAGCTCAGAATTACAGGCACCTAAAATTCTCAGCATTTTAAGTACTCGCTTTGCCAAATTCAGAACTTCATGTTTGCGTGGCAAGCACTTTGCTGACTGAGTCATCTCCCCAGCCGAGTGGAAGTGCCTTCTCCATTCTACTTTTGTCCATAGAGACAACTGGTGACCGCATATGGCACCTGCATCCTGTGATCTGACCATGCTCACCTAACAGGGAAATCAAAGGAAGTGAAAACATGCTTCCTTCCCGACCAGTCCAGTCCAACATCACCAAAAGGCAGGCCTCCCTCTGTTGGCTCATTCAAGGAGCAAGAGGCCAGCTGCTTCATCAATAATAGGGGCTGAATGCTGACTGAAACATCCATGCCCAGGGCAACACCACACAGCCGCTGAAAGTGGATTTGGGTTGATTCTGGAGTAGCACGGGGAATTTGTATGTTTTGTTCTGTTTTGTTTCCCACCTTCCCATGAACATTTGGCACTCAGAAAGGAAAACAAAACAGAACACCCACGAAAGAAGATGGTGTTGGCATCTCAGCTTACCTTACAGTACTCATCAATTGGTATCAGGCGTTTGACAGCCACGTCCCGGATGTGGCTGCGGCGGAAGAGGATTTTGCCTGCAGGAGATGAGATCACATTCAGCATGGCAGGAAGTAGTGACCTGCCCTCTGCACCTGGAGTGGCTGTCTGGGATGGGTATGAATGGTACCAAAATTCCTGGCTGTGCTCAGTATTTCCAGGCTGTACCAGGAGACAGCTTGAGTAGCTAAGGCCAAGCTGAGCTCCACGAAACTCTGCTGCTGTAGCACAATGGCTGGGGAGAATGAGCCTAACGGCTAAGAGCTTTTTAAGTTTCATGAGGCTAGAACTCAGAGCCTTGTTCACACTAAGCACATGTTCTGTGATGGAATTACCCTCCAGACCCATCTCCACAGCAGCAGGTTCAACACTGTAGATGGCACAGTCACTATACATATTTAGGGGCCACACTGTAAAACTATGATATGTGCAATTAAAGTGATCAGGACAACTGGCATGGCCCTCACTTCCAGCATGTCTCATTCCTGTTACAAATATCCAAAACCTCTCTACCAGCTATTTTGAAAAACCTAATCTATAGCTGTCAGGCGTGGTTCCATTCTGTGCTGTCATGTCAGCAGCTATTCCTCCTCTCACTGGTAACCATTCCCACCCTTGTCCAGGCTCTGGTAACCACTACTCTACCTGTTCCTTCCATGAGGTCCCCTCTCTAGCTTCTGCATATGTGTGACACCATGTGGAAGAGCCCCCTGCAGGAAGGGCTCCTCCAAGTTGAGCCTGTGCCACCCGAGACCCTCAGGCTGTGTGGGCAGCTCAGAGTGGAAACTCAGCCCCCTTTCCTTGCCTCATTCACATCTCTGCTCCTGTCCAAGGGTTTCCTAAACTTGTGTGCTATTTGTTTAATGATTCTGTGCCTTTCTGATCTATCCATGTTTGCAAGAAAAGAAAAATCTAGGAGATAATGCACCAAAGGGTTTGAAGTGCCCCATCTTCTGAGTGGCAGACGACAGGTCATGTCTTCTCTAAGCTTTTCCTAAAGTTTCTATCATATTTATTGCTTCTAGAACCACAAAAAGTCCTCCCACAGAAAAGGGGGACAGTGTTGACAACCTGCTTTCCTCAATGGGCCATCACCATGGGAACTGGGGAGGGAGGGGCAGCAGGCTCTGCTGGTTGTGCTAACATGGAGGAACCCTTCTGGGATTCCGGGCATTCTTCCCAGGGCAGGACTGTCCCCAACCCATCATTTCCAATTCAACTCCAGATTGAGCCAGTGGCCTTCCCAGCCCCAGTCAAAGTGACAATCAAATAGCCTTCCTTCTCATTTTCACTGGCCCCTGCAGGTAGGGCTGTTTGCAATCTCGACTCCACTGAAGTACCACAAGCCTGAGGCCTCATGACTAAGAAGGAATGTGATACTGTGGAGTAGCCCTGGGCAGCTAATGCTTTTGGTAGTTCATCTGTTTCTCAAAGTGGGAGAGGAACCCCCACCTGCAACCAAAACTAATGTGGTCTCATTTGGTGGCAGTTCCCTTCTGCGCATCAGGGGAGGAGAGCACTATTCAGGGTTCTTACTGTAAAGGTAGTAACTGGGCTCAAAGTATTAACACCTAGCATGGCACTACTACCAACCTACAGCACAAGGAACAGACTTGTCTCAAAGCTACCACCCAACTATAGAGTCATCTAAGAGGGAAGCACAGGTAAGAAAATGTCTCCATAAGATTGGCCTGTAGGCATCTCTGTGAGTTCAAGGCCAGCCTGGTCTATAGATCGAATCCCAGGACATCCAGAGCTAGACAGAGAAACCTTGTCTCAAAAGACAAACAAAAAAACAACAATAACAAAAAAAGATTGACCTGCAGGCAAACCTAAGGGGTATTGTCTTGATTAACGATTCATCTGGGAGGCTCCAGTCAACTGTGGGTGGTGTCACCCCTGCACAGGTGGCTGAATGAGCCAGCAGCCAGAGAGCAGCATTTCTCCATGTTTCTGCCTCAGTTCCCGCCTTGACTTCCCTCAATGATGACTGTGACATGGACATATTAGCCAAATAAACCCTTTACTCCCCAGCTTGTATTTGGCCATGTTGTTTTATCAAAGCAATGGAAAGTAAAGGAAGCCAGAGCCTGATGTTGAGACTTTACCCTAGGGTGTGTATGTGTGTGTGGGGGTGGGGGGAGAGCTGAGAGGGTGGGAACTCCTCAGGCAGAGAACTCAGTGCTTCCAGAGTTTCCTGGGGTTGACACAAGGGCTCACTAGATGGTTATGGCCAAACTCTCCTACACTATGAGCCTGCAGAGCCAATGGCCTCTGGAGTCTGTGAACTAGGAGAACAGAGCTTTGTCTTAGAGATCACCTCCACAACACACCTAGAGCCTGGCCCTTGGTAGACCTTACAAAGGAGAAATTACTGTGTGTCCCTCAAAGCAGTGTGGGCATTCATGACACTCTAGTTAAGAACACATTAATCCTTTCTCCTACCCTCAGCTTTCTGGGGCCAACTAGCCACATCAGAGCAAGGTTACACTCAGGCCAAGTGCCAAGCAGCCTGACCAAAGCTCTCGGCAGTTCCTACTTGTTGGCGATGCCTCTCTGGTGAAGTGTGAGGACAGTCAGCATAGGTAAGGGTCTGGGTCCGATGGGAGGGTCAAGAAGGAAGGTGGGGCTGCCCCCACACTGGAGTGGAAAGGGTGTTTAGAAGCAAGACCAGCTTTGGTGGGAATGGGCGGCTTTTGTTTTCCACAGTGGAAGAAGGCCAAACTGCAATTCTTAGTTTTCAAGTCGCACCCTCTGCCAAGTTGGCCTCCTCACTCCTGCTGGGATGGAAAGTCCACACAGGCTGGTCCCTTCCCCCGCCTTTGTGCTAACATGAAATTGGGCCTTTGTCTTGCTGACAACAGCAGTCTGGGTAGAGAACTGACCTCAGGAGAGGAGACCTACTTCCTGCCCATGGCATTGGCCTGGGGAATATCTGAGAGGTGGGTTCAGAATGAATGGACCAGAGGTCCCGGGACCCCTGGGGAATCTCAAACTGGAAGTGGGCACAAGGACAAAGGGGCTAGGCCCTGAGAGCAGCATTTGCATGAATTCTTGCTGGAAAAGAATTACGTAACCACAAAGGCTTTTAAGGGCTGGGGAGAGGGTCCGGCTCAACTTCTCTGCCTTGGGAAGTTTCCCAGAGCTGACTTTTGCCTTTCATCCGGAAGAAAGCTACGACTTTGTGCTCCCCTTTTTCTTGAGGGAAGTCTGGCTTTTAGAGCCTGGCTGAACCTGAACATTCTTGGTCATTCCAGAATGACTCCAACATACAAAACCAAGAACCCCCAAAGGTAGGCCCCCAACTGTCCTCTTGCTGCCTTTGCTGAGAGTCTATTTTGTGCCAGGAATTAAACTTTGTGAAGCAGATTCACTGGCTTATTTAACAGATGTGGAAATAGAGGTGGGGGGAGGGTGTTGAGGGTAGTGATTAAAGTCACGGGGCTGAAGAGGGTTGACTCCAAAGCATGTGTTTTACAGTCCTGAGTCTGAGTTTTGGCTATTGCAGCTGGCACATGGGATTCTCTCCAGTGGGGGAAAAATTCCAGTGTGGTTGATGCTATCCCAGGGGAGGGATTAAAAATGTTAGGTTTCTGTCCTTTCTTTCCCCTCTTTTTTTTTTTTTTTGTCAAAGAATTCTCCCAGCAAAGGGGGCCTAGCAAACACAGTTAGCCCAATATTCAATCCAGCCAGACTGATAGTGTCTGAGAACCTACTGACTGTGTGACAGGGACCCAAGAAAGGCAGAAGATGGTGAGCTCTCCAAACCATGGACTGTTGGTATACTCATCATCCTTGTATAACAACAGCAAGTGAGCAGTGGCCCTCAGTGACCCATCAGACATTTACACAATCCTTATGGACACCATCCTTATAGTACCATTCTCATCTCCAATGTGCAAGAGAGGAAAGCAAACATGCTTGAATCATTCACCAAGGTTAGGGCTGTGTGTGTGCCCAGAGTGCCAAAGTTGGAAGTCACTCCAGCATGAAGCTTGGAGCCAGCCACCACCGCTTTGTTGGCATCCCAGGTCTGCCAACTATGCACATGATTGGCCCTAGCTCCTCCTTTGTAACAGGGGTGTGATACCAACTACCTTAGGGAATGTACTGGGGTGACTGGCATAAAACACTCAGCCCAACACTGATGTCCAATAACAGCTGTAAGTAGCAGCTGTTGAAGTTTGGAGTAGGTTCTGTTTCGGAGGAATCCCTTTTTTTCATCAAAGCCTTGACATTACTCTTTGGTAGGGACATGGGGGTGCCGGGGGTACACACAAGTATGAGCACTGCATCCTTTGCAGCAGCTGGTATAACAGCTGGCACTCAAGGTGCTTGGTAGATTTTTTTTACTATAACCCCAACATGTCCTGCCCTAATCCCTAAAGTCTGTGGATATGATGGGAAACTCCGTGCCTCATATTATCCTGGATCAGCCTGGAAACCATATGAAACCTGCCAGGCAGACAGCTTTCTCTGACACAGAGGTCAGAAGGATCTAAAGCGCCAGAAGTTTTCTATGTCCCATCACTGGCTCCCTGTGATGAGGAATGCAGGCAGCTTCTAGATGCTGGAAGGCCCCAGCTGACAGCCATCAAGAAGACTGCAAGGAATGAATTCTACCACAATATGAGTGAGACTGGACAGGAGTTCTTCTCTGGGATCTCCAGGTAGGAAGCTTAGCCTGGCTAACACCTAGACTTTGGCCTTGAATAGGGAACCCAGCTGAGCTTGACAAGGCTTCTGACCCACAGAACTTTGAGGCAATAATGGCTGTTGTGTTGTGCTGTTAAACTGCTGGTAACTTGTGATGTAGGGACAGAAAATGTACACAGTGGTTATACAAACCAGCTTCTGACTGTGCAAACCCTCTGTGTTCCAGCTCCCACTTGAGGGCTGGGAGAAGCTGAGCATCCATGGCAGAATCCCACCCGGGTCACACAGCTTGTCAGAGGCATATGCCCATTCTTAGCTACTCATTCTGCCCTTGGCTGAGACTCTTGTCAGTGAGCTGTGCTGGTTAGTCTGACCTGGTTAGGCCCATCTCAACTAAATACAAACTGAAGTTACCCAGAAGAGGGAATTCAATTGAGGAATTGCCGCCATATGATTGGCCTATGGGAGTGAATGTGGGTGAGTGGCATGTTCTGAATTGCTAACTGGTGTGGAAGGGCTCAGCCCACTGTGGGCAGTGCCACCTCTGGGCGGGTGGTCATGGGCTGTATTAGAAAGCAAGCTGAGCAAGCCACGATGAGCTAGCAAGCAGCTTCCTCCATGGTTTCAGCTTCGGTTCCTGTTTCATCTTCCTGGAGAAGTGTAATTGATGAAATAAACCCTTTCTTCGGAAAGTTGCTTTTTCATTGTGGTGTTTATCACAGCAACAGAAAAGCAAACCAGGAGAGAAACAATGCCCCCAGGGCCTCCCTTCCCACTCCTCTGTGAGAGGGGATGAGCTTGTGTGCTCTTTTGGGGGTTGGAAGCTGTTCTTCAGTGGCCAGGTTTGCCCTGTCCAAGAGTGCGCCTCCCACCCACCTGGTAGAAACGGAATGATCCTCTGCTTGGGATCCTTCTGTCCTCCTTCCATGGGGAACTTGTCCAACATCTGCATCTAGACAGGGAGGAAAGAAAAGTAGAGACCTTTCACGATGTGAAATTACATGGTCTGACATCTTAAAGGGATATGTGAAATTTGTAATTTGGTGTATTAGAAGTTAGCTTTGTCTGGCTTTCCAGAAACCTGAGGCAGTGGAGTTGGGGGCTAGATCTGAGGCCCATGTGAAAGCGACTGTTTATATCCACAGCTTCCAAACTGTGAAAGCTCAAAGTTACAAGAGACCATTCTTAGTTGTTTTCTTTTAAAGATTTATTTTAAATTATGTGTGCATATACATGCATCTGTGCCACATGCATGCAGGTGCCCTCAGAGACCAGAAATGTCAGAGCCTCTGGAGCTCTTAAATGACTCTTATGAGTCATTCGGTGAAGGTGTTAGAAACCAAACTTGGGTTCTCTGCAAGCAAGGTCAGTCTGTGACCTTAACTCCCAAGCCACCTCTGCAGGCCACCATTCTTGGTTCTCCTGGAGAGTTTAAGTCATGGGACTTGAAATGTGAACAACAGCCTGATGACTTCTGTGTCACAGACAGCAGGTTATTCTGCATTCTGAGAAGTGACAGGTGTGTTAAAATTCCCTCTACCTGATTAAGCCTATGCTAATGACACCATCTCATTTCTGATCCACTCTAAAATCTTCAACCTGCTTAGCAGAGCCCAGTGCCTGGCGCTGTTTTGTATGCACGAGCCAGCCATAAAGACAAGCAGTCTCTAAAAGAGCCTGGAAAATAATCTGGTTACTGTGAAGGAGTGTATGAGATACCATGAAAGAGGTAGAGGTAGAGAGTGGAGTTGGGGGCAGACCATGAAAACCTGTATCTTTGTGTCTTAGGGTTTCTAGTGTTGTGAAGAGACACCACAACTACAGAAACTCCTAGAAAGGGAAATATTTAGCTGAGGTGGAAGCTTACAGTTCAGAGGCTCAGTCCATTATCATCATGGCAGGGAGCATGGTAGTGTGCAGGCAGACATGGTGCTGGCTACATCTTGACCAGAAGGCAACAGGAAGTGGACTGAGTGTCACACTGAGCAAAGCTTGAGCAAGAAAGACCTCAAAGCCTGCCCCTACAGTGACAAACTTCCTCCAACAATGCCACACATATTTCAACAAGGCCATACCTCCTAATAGTGCCACTTCCCCTGGGGGCCATTTTCTTTCAAACCACCACACTCCGATAGCTTAAGAAACAAAAGTGAAGCTGGGTGTGGTGGCACACATCTTTAATCCCAGAGCCAAGGCCAGTCTGGTCTATATAGTGAGTTCCAGGCCAGCCAGGATTATATACTAAGACCTTGTAAAAAAGTTAATTTTAGAAAAAGAAAGAAACTAATATGAAATCTCTGGTTTGGTACTCAAAGTCACAAGGATCTACCACTTAACTTTTGTATGTTCTGATGTAACTTTAAGGGTCTTCTCTTTCAGTTCCCAATATATCACAAGCACTGCGTTACAGTTAAGGCTGGGCTGGGGGATGTTACCAGGGCTGCCTGCAGTTGTGTTTCTGAACCCCAAGTTGAACTGTACTTTCCCATCCCTCTGAAGTGGGCCACGTCTAATGATCAGCCAAACAATGTTACTTCAGGGAGGAGGTTTGCTGTTCTCTATTTCCCACTCTCTTGTGACTGACCCACAATCCCTGCCGTATGCAGTCCTGTGGGGGTAGGGTGGGTGCAGGGCCTCAGCACCCCACCCATGGTCCAGCCTATGCCCTGGTTGACCCTCCATGCAGCATGCAAGTTGCTCTGCTGTCTGGTGGGGTTATTTGTTTTTTGTTGGGCTTGCCTTGTTTTTTTTTTTTTTTTTTTTTTTTTTTTTTTTTTTTTTTCTTTCTTTTTTGAGACAGTCTCACTATGTAGTCTGGCAGTCTTGGAGCTAACTATGCAACTCACAGAGATCTGTTTGCCTCTGCTTCCTGAATGCTAGAATTAAAAGCACATGTTACTATCACTATCACCACCATGAATGGCTCAATAATGTAGACAATGGCCTCCTTTTTTTTTTTTTTTTTTTTTTTTTTTTTTTTTTTTTATTGATAACTAGGTACTTGAACCAAGGGCCTCCCCACATACTAAGCCAGTCCTCTACCACTAAGGCAGCCCTGAGGTTTCTTGTTACAGCAGCATATCCTGATCTATCCTACTTTACAAGGAAGCCAGAGCAGATGGAAAGAAGTCCTGAGCCTGCCAAGAATGCCAGAACACTTCAGAGAGATCACTACCCTGACTTCCCAGACTGTCTCTCTTATGGAAAGAAAGAAGTCCAGGAGAAATAAAACTCCAGAGGAAATATGCTCATGGAGCAGGCAAGCACTGCATCTCAGCAGGATCCCTCCACACCCCCACCTACCCCCAGTCCTCAGAACCCTGTAATGTTAATGCTAGCACTCAAGGTCTGCTAGTCTACAGCTCAGGAGTACTTTGTCACTGCAAGACCACACCTCTGCAATGCTGAGAAGACACAGAGGGCAGGGGGCACAGGTATCATGCTGGAGCTCCTGGCTTCTTCCTCTTTTATACAATGCCCTGGGAGAGTCAGCCAGCTTTATTCAGTGTGGCTGGGCTGGCAGGACAGCTAGGGTATGCAGGCTTCCAGAAGCCTGGGGTAGAGGCTTTATTCGTAGATTTATTTATTTATTTTTGGTTTTTCGAAACAGGGTTTCTCTGTGTAGTTTTGGAGCCAGTCCTGGAACTCATTTTGTAGATCAGGCTGGCCTTGAACTCACAGAGATCTGCCGGCCTCTACCTCCTGAGTGCTGGGATCAAAGGTGTGCACCACCACCACCCTTGTGGATTTTATTTATTATTATGTGCAGTGCTAGGGAAGGAGCAAGGGCTTTGCCCATGCTAGGTAAGCGATCCACCACTGTAGCCACTATGCTACCCTGGGTTCTATTATCCATGGCATTATTTGTGGCTATCCATCATTGGTCCCAACTCAGTCCTGCATGGGGACAGGAATACTTTGTCCACTGTCTTTCCCTGACTGCTGAGGCCACTGTGGGCCTCCTTGGAAAGATGGGTTCATTTCTGAAGAGTTCCTCCATACCAGCACGTAGCAGACTTTCAATAAACACTAGCAGAATGGATGCCAACAGTGGGGGAGACTAGCAAGTGTAGGTAGTACCTGAGAATACTCTGGGCTTTAGAAATGTTTCATGGTGAGCTTAAAAGTATCCCCAAACACAAAAGTTTAATGAAAAAGAATCAATGAATTAACAGGGAGAATTTTTTTCTTCAGGAGGTCACTTCAAGGGACAGTTAAATAACTCTAATGAATAACAGTCATATTACTAATATAAAATAATAATAATAACAATAACAATAATAATAATAATAATAATGGCAGTGCACAGCAGTTGACAGTTAATAGTCTTCTCATTTAGTTCCATCTGATCTTTACAGTAACTCTCTGAAACAAATGTTACAAGTTCCAAGTCACAGATGAGGAAAGCTGGTAGCAGAGAGGGGAATGGACTTGCCCCAAGTCACACATCAAAGCAGCACATGACCTTTCCAAATACATTTGTCTAATCACATTCTCCTAATTTCACTCTTTAGGTGGCTTCAGGGTTACATGGCTATGGAAAAGCAGCTTGAGATAAGGTAAGCTAAAGATTCTGTGCACATGTGAGCAGCACATTCCTTTCTCAAAAGCAATTCATCAGTCTTAGCTGCAGAGGCTCTGAAATTGATACATTTACCTAATGCTATCTATATCCTTTTCCCTTCTCAATGTTAAGACAAAGTTGAAACTCCACCAAGGAGGAACATGTTGTCAAGAATGCACAGTAATAAGGCTGCTTCTGTTCTCTTGGTGCCTTTTGAGACCTTTGGGTCTCCGTAGTGGCTAACAAGTGTCCACACTGGCTAATGAGCATCCATACTGGCTAACAAGTATCCACACTGGCTAACAAGCATTCACACTGGCTAACAAGTGTCCACCCTGACTAATGAGTGCCCACGCTGGCTAGTGAGTGTCTACATTCGCTAACAAATGTCCACACTGGCTTATATACCACTGGTCTAACCTCAGGTAAGTCCCGTTGGAGCAGACAGCTCAGGTTAAATCCTGATGCTTCCTCTACCAGCTGTATCCATCGAGCCTGTGTGGCCATTTGGGAAATGAGGGACATTCTGCAGGTGGCTATGAATAACACTACTTTGAAACTGATTTGGGAGTAACTTCGTGGTCTGGGAGGTGGTTGTTTTGTTTTGTTTGATTTACTTATGAATATGTATGCTCTGTCTGTCTGTTTGCCTGCATGCCAGAAGAGGGTATCAAATCCCATTACAGATGGTTGTGAGACACCATGTGGATGCTGGGAATTGAACTCAGAACCTCTGGAAGAGTAGCCTGTATTCTTAAATGCTGGGACATCTCTTCAGCCCTGCCTTTTAAAAAATTGTGTTACACATATACAGTGCATCTTTCACCCATATCTGGGTGCACAGTTCTGTGGCCTTTTGCACACTTACTCTGTGGACACCCAGCTCCTCCACCATCTCCACAGACTTGCATCAGCAAGAGCACCAAATGGCTGTCCATCCACTCTGCCTGCTGCCACCACCTCCACCTGTGACTCAGTTGATTATTCTGGGTACTTTGTACAGGTGTAGTGAAACATCTGTCCTTTTCGCTCTAGCCTTACTGTGCCCAGTGCACAGTCTTCAGGGTTCAATCATACTACAGCCAGTATCAGAATTGGTTTATTTTGTTTTGTCTGTCTGTTTTTATGAGACAGGGTCCCTGTGTGTAGCTCCGGTGACATCTGTGACCCCAGGGGACATAGTGAACCTGGAGGACTCAGAGTACAATGGTTGCATCTACAACCACTGTCTGCCCATCATCCCCTTCGCCAGTCCTTGTGGGATTGTCCCTTGTGGACATAATCACCAATTTGAACTTGTAGCTGTAGCAAAAGCAGCAACAGAGAGCAGAGAGGCTAAAAGCATGGACTTTGGTATCACACAGCCTCAAATCTGAGTACTGTAGTACTAGCTGTGTGACTGGGCGAGTGAATGAACTTCTCTGATCCCAGGCTCTTTCATCTGTGTAATCTGATAAACTTGTTGTGATGATTAAATGAATACACTGGGCCCAAGAACAGCTTCAGAAATGCTGGCTGTTTTTACTAACAAGTTCCCCTCTCACCAGTGACAACACCCCAGCCATAGAAGAGTAAGGGAGTGTGCCCAAGGACACACAGCAGGGGCTGGCTGGGCCCATGGCTTCTGAGTTCTCTGCTTTTTCTGTTATACCACACTAGTTCAGCTGCTCCTCCTCCACCAAGCCTCAGCCTTCTCCTCACTCTGTGAGCCCAAGTAATTTCTTTAAAAAAAAATCAAGGCCATGTGCCAAATAGGACATGGAACCATGAAATCATCTAATGTTGGGGTATCATGGCCACACAGGGGCTGGCCTCCTTGCCTACTCCGTGGGGACAGCTGAACTGAGTGGCCCAACCTCTCCTACCCCTCTTGGGTGAATATACGTTTGGGGAGGCTGTTTCTAGCTTGAACCAGACCCCCTAGAATTACATGGCTTTCCCACTCTGCCACCGCACCATCTGGGACTCCTTAAAACCTGATGAAGCCAGGCCTCTGGACAGCTACACAATGCCAGGATGGCCACCCGAGGCAGCCAATTCTTCTCCAGAAAACTCCCAATTATTACCACACTGAGCTAGGAAGAAAAACTGAGAGTGAAAACAGAGGCTTAGTAAGTACAGGATTTGGGTTGGGAAGACCTGTGACCAGACCCAGCAAAGGAGGTCACTGAAGATGTCACATCTGTGGAGAAGGACAGATGACAATTAACACACTGAGTCAAGTCCATCTCATTTCACTGTTATAACAAGTACACGATGGAATAAGCAGGAAATGGAGGCTCAGAAATGGACAGAGGTAACACCAAGCTAAGACCTGAAAATGGAAAGCTGAGTCTTGAACTTGGGTTTATCCTCAGCCTTGGGCCAGACAGGAGTAAGGAATTCAAGTAACACTTGTAGGGGAAGCTGTAGCTATGCCTACTTAGGGGCTGGCTACAGGTGTGCCTGACCACGCCCTTGTGAGGGCGTGGTCAGGGGACGTAGGGTGACTGTGTTTTCGCTTTCGGTCTCTCTTTTGGGCTTGTGTACAGACTGCTGCCATGCCGGCTGGCTAGGTTGCTCTGTAAGTAAGGCTTTTCCCTATTAAATACCCTTATATTTCTACCTGACTCCGTATTGGTAATTTCCCACTATAAACACTCTAGTCACACGCTTCAACATGCCAGGATTCAGACACTTTCACAGGGCTCCCTCCCACTCAGGCATTCCCTAGCCCAGTGTCACCTACTCCCTACCACAGCTGATAGGCTAGGACAGAGTCTGATCCAGGATCCCGGGGGCCACCAGATTCTCTACCCTGAAGTCTGGAACTGGCACCCAGGGACTCCAGGTTCCTGAAAGCAGGGAAAGACAGCTGACAGAGACAAAAGGTGCTGACTTGAGAGGACAGATGCTAAGCATGCTGGCCAACAGGCAAGCGGAGAGGCTGGTCTAGAGTGGCCAGCGGGTTGGTCAGAGGGTCACAAGATAGATGACCAGGAGTTGCGAGTGGAGACTAGGCCTTCCCAAGGCCACAGCAGTGTTTGCTCTGGGCTCCAGGCAACACTTTGCTCTGCCCATGGATCCAACACACTCCTCTCTTCATGTGTTAACTAGCTGAGTGGGCTCTGCTCTGCAGATGTGAATAACCCCTGGTATGACAATCATGCCACTCTTGTTCCATAGCCCCACTGCTCTTTCTTGGAGGTGCCAGGATGGCAAGAAGGCCCTGAACACAGACCAAGGCAGAGCTCCCAAGGTAGACATCATTGCCTGTAACAGCAGCCTAGCAATAGGCAAAAGCTCTAGGTCATTTGCATGATCTGTGTGAAAGGGCAGAGCATCCCCGAATGCTATTGGTCACTCTCACATGGGACTGTGTCACCTGCTCAGGGTACTGGATGGAGTCAGTCATCACCACTGCCCCGTGACTCCTTTTCCTGTGTTTTCTTCTCCTTGTCTGCTCATTTTAGATGGTGGTTAGTTTATTTATTACAGGGCTGGGATCAAACTCCCAGCCTTGTGTGTGTGAAGCATGTATTCTCCCACTTAGCTGCATCCCAACCCCACAGCAAGTTTTAGGGGTAGCCTTGCTGTTTATTTATATTCAGCTCATTTGCAGCAGAGCAGCAGAAAATTATAGCTGTATGTGACACTGCTAGATATGGCTGCATGCTGCCGAACACAAAGCATCAAGATGAGCTCATTATGTTTTAAATAATTAAGTGACTGGTATCTCACTCACTTTATACGATGCAGCAATTCCTGGCTATGTGTCGTGAAGGCATTTAGGGACTGTTTTAGTGACACTTAAGAAAGCAGTTAGGAGCCTATTGCTATCTACCCTCCTTTACCATAGTGGGATACAGGCTCCAGACATTCTCCAGTCCACATTGTCAGGAACAGCTTGGGTTTATGTAGTCAAGGATGCCTGCAGTTAATATTACCAGAACCCGAGATTCTCCTTCCCAGCCTAGACTATGCCCTGATACCAAGGGTGGAACAGCAACCCAGGAAAGCCTATTGGCTGTCATAGTGATTGAAGCCAATGAAACACAAAGTGCCTGCCAGGACATGTGAGAAGTCATTGTTACCCTTTACTATAAAGCGTGAGCCCAGAGTTCTTGGAGCCATTTGCAATCATGTGTGACTGGAGATGAAGCCAATACCACTGAAGTGGGGACACAGAAGGAGAAGTCAGGTCAAATGACAGAGTGAAAACCCTACAATAAGCTGTGCTTGAAGCCTGGAAGCCTTCTTCTCCTAGGACAGTCAATCTCATGGCCAAATACCCAAAGTAAATCTTAGCTGGTTCTTTAACTAACAGGGCAGACACCACGCAGCCATCGTGGAATGGAGGCTTGCCCTGGACCCTCACCACACAGTAGGGAGAATGCATAAAAGTTCAGAAAGTCAAGAACATCCCCCAGTGTCTGTGGCATTGTCTACAGAACTTTGCCACGTCATCTCTTGAAGGACCCTGACTTCTCCAGCCTCCTTGGAGTTGCCTGCTTTTGGAGACATGGAGAATTAGCATTGTGTCATGCTAGTGAAGATGGATCCTACTGTGCTGTCCTCATGTTCCCAAGCTCACAGTGAGACTGGTGGTGTATGCTGTTCACTTGTTCATTCATTTATTCATTCATTCATTCATGACTCATTCATTCATTCATTCATTCATTCATTCATTCATTCATTCACTCATTCATTCATTCACTCACATACTCACCCATGCAACATGCATCAGTCACTAAGTGAACATGTGTTATGTGCCAGGCCTTGAATAAAAACATGAAGGAAAGAAAGGATGGGGAAGACATAGCCCTGCCCATGACTGCCATGGTCTAGAAGAGCCAGATAAGCTGAAAACATCAATATGAGGAAGCTCACAGCACTGGGTGATGGCTCCTGATGAACAGAGAACAAAGTCAGACAAGGCTTCCAGAAGCTGGGGACGCTGGTGGCAGAGAGTCATCCAGGCCAATGATCCAGGTAGGAAAGCACAGAGTAGCATCCCAGGTGAGAGTCAATAGCATAAAAGATAAAAGGGGTGGCAATGGGGAGACGGTGTGTGCAAGGTGTCCAGATAGGATCAGCATTGTGGATCACCACATGGCCACTGTACAAAACTCCACTCAACATGGTTCCAGAGCCACGTGTGGCCTCCAGACTGGCCCCCTTCAGGGGCATCTGACAAGTACCTCTTATTTAGTTAAATGTATCAAAGCAGGGCAATCAAAAACCTTACTTATGCCCCAAGTAATGGATGTCAGTTTACAGTAAAGACCATGAAAAGACAAGGCTCTAAGGTCACGGTGTAGGCAAAGTCCAATTAACCTTCTCCCTACCATCAATGCCTACCTGGAGGTCAAAGAACTTGCTATAGCGCCGGTAGATGGCCTCTGTGGTGCCACTGGACCACGTGACTCGGATGATGTAGACCTGCATGGAGAGAGAGAGGAGATAAGTGTTAACCACAGGAGGATGACATGCTTGGAGCATCCTCTTCCAGTCCAGATCACAGGAATTTTATCCCCATGGAACAGTGCCAGCACCTCTGCGAGGTCTCCATTAGCTCAGGGCTGGGTTCATGATGCCCTGTGGGTTTCTTAGCAAAGTGAGTTTAGTCCACCTGTCCCCCTCCTGCTCTGTGTGTGTGTGTTAAGCATCACAAAGGCCCTGTGGGATGCCAGCCCCTCCAGCTTCTAAGGGATAAACCTACATTCTTCACCAATTACCCACCTGTGCCATTCTATTGCAACAACACAAAGCAGACTAAGAAAATCTTTCATCCCTGAGACCGAGGAGGAGTTTGAGGCAGAAAAACTCAGCTTGGCCAAGGACCAGCCGGACCAGTCAGTCCCCTGCTATCTCGGAGTCTTAGCTCCCTCCTCAATAGAAGGGGAAGAATAGCCCTTGCCTGCAGAGCTGTGGTGGGGATGGTACAAGGTCAGCTTGGGGCAGCTGTACTCCAGCACTGTAAGGGTGCCTGGCTGCTCCCAGGGTGGCTTTTCTGTCGGAGTAATTCTTAAAAGCTTCACATTTATCAAGAGAAGTCAGGGTGCTTGCATTCTTAACCTCTTCCATTGCCTGAATACTGAGCTACCCTGATGTTTCCACCAGTGAGGCCTCAGGCCAACTCAGATGTCCCTTGAGCCTCAGCTTCTCCATCTGTGAAGTGGGCTAACAGCACCTGCCTCCTTTGTTTCCTGTGCTATATGAAGGTCTAACAAAATAAAGGTCATGAGTCATCTTAGCAACCAGAGAACATGTCTCTGACCTTGATCACATGTTACAGTACACACAGGAAACAATACCCTGGTAACAAATTTGGGGAAACTGAGGTGTCTGACAGGCAGGCATATACCTCAGTGGGGACAGCACATTGCTTTTTCTCCAGGGAGCCTCCTTCTCCATGTTGCTCAGCCCCTTAGAAACAGAGAAGGGGCTATCCAGAAGAAATGAACGTGTGACCTGAGCTGGACCAATCAGGGTCAGTTAGCCTCAGCCCTGGGACTTTAGAGCCAACTCTTGAGAGAGGTCAGTGCTCCTCCTCCGAGACTGTAGCACCTTACCATGTCAGTGGTGAGGTCAGCCTGAGAATGAAACTCGGAGGATGTAATCTGACTGTATCTAGTTCAACTTGAAGCTAAGCCTACAGACACCTGTTTCCTGAGCCAATAATTACCATTTGGTCCACAGAGAGCTAAGTATAATTATAATAAATCTGTATAATTACAATAAAAATAGCTTATCATTTTCACTTGTACATATTTATGGGGTATGTTATGACAGTCTGATGTATACATACCACATGTAGAGATCAAATCCAAGCATGTGTGATATACATGATTGACATATATGACAGACATATGTCAATCACCTGATATTTACATGTGCATATGCACACATATGTACATATACATATACACACATAATGGTGCTGAGAATGGAAACTGGAGAAGTTAAAGCTGAAAGAAACTGCAGAACTCAGCTAAGCTAATGACTTTACCTTCTGGTTGGGTAAACTGAGGCCTAGAAAGCAAAAACGCAGTATCAAAGGTCACTGTCCCTAGAGATGTCAAAGCAAAATTTGGCTAGCTGGTCACACAGGACATTATCATTAAAGATTAAAAGAAAAATAAAAAAATTAAGAAAGACTGACAAATATTTTTTTTTTTACTTAAAATGGACACAAAGCACTTTCCCACATATGGAAAGCCTCCTTGTGTATGGTTCCCTCCTGGATTCCTGTTCCCAGTCTCTGAAGTTCCTGGACTGCAACAGGCCTACTGCTCTACAGGAATGAAGCCCTGAACAAATCCAATGTAGTGTTTTTAGGCACAGGCCAGACTTTGTTACAAAGCTTGTCCTATGCCAGCCCCGAGGCCTCAGGGCTGGAAGATGGCATACACCTGCTCTGCAGCTATGGGACACTCACGAGGTTCTGGCCTCTCCAGTTGTGGTGCTCTTCCCTCTGGAATGGAGACAACAGCCTCCTTGAGAATCAAGCAGGAGAATGAACAGCTATGGCCCTCTCTGGCACCCGGAACACATTAGGAGTGCTCACTAGCTTCTCCCACGCTGTGGTCAACCCATGCTTCCGACTGGTACCCATCCCCCTATTTCAACTTCAGTATCAGTTTCTCTTGGAGAATTACCTCCTTTCTCACTGTTTTGCTATAGGGAGGTGTGTTTCTCATGCTTGGCCAAATGCAGCACTGCCTGGCCCCAGCCACAAAAGGGGACCTGCACCTGACCCAAGCCAGGCTGACAGAATTCATGACCTCCAATGGCATCAAAATATATTCCCCCCCCCAAAAGGCCTGGTGGGAAAACACCATGGGAAGAATGATTCCTCGACAAGCCTTTGCTGCATGGAAGAGAGCCAAGTGAAGAATCGACATCTTTATGGGATGCCTTTTATAGGTCTCAAAACTCATGAACAGAACACAACTAACTCAGTTATAAGAGGCATATAAAAGACTTGATCAGACACGTCCCTGGAGTGGATAGATGGATGGCAAGAAAGCCAGTAAGAAGATAAAGCCATCAGCCATTGGAGAAAAGCAGACTAAACAGTGATGAGAAACCATGCTAATGCTTGGAGAGTGTCCTCACGAGGACCATGTACTCCAGGCCTGGTCACCAGCCTGTTGTGGAGCCCAGAAGGAGGCAGTTGAGTCACCAAGGGCTTGCCCTTGAAGTACATGCTGGAAATCCTGTCTCTTCTCTTCTTTTCATGGCCAACATGCTCCCACCTTTCACTCCACCATGATATATGCTGTCGTCACAGATAACTACCCTAGACCTCTGAAAATGAGCCAGAGCAGGCTTTCCCTCCCTAGAATGTGCTAATTGCAGGGATTTTGTTATAATAACTGAAAATAAACACACTTGTGACTGTTAACATGGATGAAATGAAAAATGCTGACAACCTTGGGCATGATAGTACTGCCTACAGCCCCAGGTCTTGGAAGTTGAAGCAGAAAGATTAGGGGGTTCTAGGCCAGCCTGGGATACACAGTGAGACCCTGTCCTAATGTCACTGTGTTAGCTTTCCAGTCACTGTGAGAGATGGCCTGATATAAACAACTTAAAAGGAGAGCTGGGATTCATGGTTTCAGAGGTGTCAGCCTTTCGGGGAGGGAGGACATGGTGGGTCAGAGCACTACACACTGTGGTGGCAGGAAACAGGGGAAAGGGAAAACAGGAAGGGTTCAAGACAAGTTCAGCCTCTGAGGCACACAGATGACAGCCTGCTTCTGACTAGGCAGGCCTCTCAGTAATGCCACAGTATTATAAATCCATAAAAGGATACAACACACCCATTGGCCAGAAGAGCCCTCTCTGGAAACACCACCCCAGACACCCAAAGGTGTGTGTTGCTGATCTCCTCCACACTTCTCAACTCAACCATTCAAGCTGGCAGTTAAGACAAACTGCTACCATCTCTCAGTTATCACAGCGAGCACGGGAACAAATGGTGAGCGCAGGTGGGCCATCCCCTCCAAGAGACTCCACTTCATTTCATTGCACTACTCTCTCCCTAGGAACCCCCATGCTCTCTCAGTCCCACAGGGTCACAGAAGGACTGTACCTCCAGGTCACCTCACCAAGGCTCAGCCACAAGTTCCTAGATGCTGAATAAACTTGGGCGCCATTCCCTCCTCCTGGTGCCTAAGGGGAGCCCCTATGCCCCAGCCTTCACTCCTGGACCTCAGTCTGCCTGGAAAGAAGTCTGGCTAAATGCCCTCTTACCACACACTCGAGAGAGCCTGCTGTCCTATGTAGGGCTAGAGACCACCCCAGGGAGCTCTGGGTTAGCCCCACCCTGCTGGGAAGCTGCCCCAAGAGGCCATGAGCTACTCATGGATGATGTGAAGTGTTTGTGGCCTGGGCCAGAGTGACTGACTCCCTTCTTTGAGGACCACCCACCAGTCCTGGTTACACTTGGAACATGTTCATAAGGCAGGAAAGAAAGCAACAGCACCCTAATGGATGTACCCTGTGAGAAGGCCACCTGTCCTGCCTGCTCCCACAGCCAAGACTGTGTGGAACAGTCCTCCAACCCACACTGGGCTTTTGGTCAGGAATAAGACCTGAGCTGCCTCATGCAACAGCCACAGCCTTGAGGCATCGGCACACACAGGGCAGACATCTGGTCTGCACAGAGACACAAATGAAGGCTGTTATAGCATGGGAGCTCAGGGAGAGCCCACCTTGATCTGGCCAGTGCTCAGGATCCTGCTTCCAGGCCCTGCCCCTGGCTTCTACTCTGCACAGCAGGGCCTAGGCCTTCTCACTTAGCTCCCCTTCTGGCAAGACAAGGGGATTTGTGCAAATAACAGAACTCCAGGGTTATGTTAAAGTTCTTACACTGAAGTCCACCTTGGCTTCAGGAAGAGTCACAGTTGGTCTCCATGCCTGAGGTTCTACATGTGAGGTGGGAATGGCAAATGGCACTGGCCTATACTGAACATCTATAGCTTTTTCCTTCTAGTCGTTATTCCTACCAACACAACCGAACACTGTTCACATGGCATCACCGTTGGTATCAGGTGTCAGTATCATGAGTGACCTAGAGATACAGAAAGCACATGGGAGGATGTGGGTGGGTTATATGCAAGTGTTGTACTATTTCACATGAGTATCAACAGATTTTGATGGCCATGGGGATGGAGGGGCTGGAATCAAGCCCTTATGGGGACCAAGGGATAGCTGCACATAATTATACACACAGTACGTACACGTGTGTATGCACATATTCATCACATATGCACACAGACACAATGTTACACCACACACACATGCCATATCACACATACAATATACATATGCAAAGCAGCTTCTTGCCACTTGAAGTAGCTGTGTTCTACAGTGCTGCTAGTAACAGTGACTGGGCCGATACTTAAGCATTACTCCTTGGAGAAACACAGGGA